ATTACGGTTCGAATTATGCATGACACACACATCTTTTGTATTTTTTTTTTAAATAAAAATAAAAATGGGCAAAAGTCACAAATAATTAACAAAGTGCCGTACAGAAATCCAAAAATTGTACAGCGGGACCAATTGTTATTATTTTTATTCTTTTGGAGCGATTGTCGCGTAAAAAACAAAAATCACGTGCTCACAATATTAGACACTACAGTTTGATACTGTGTAACTCTATAAGACTAACATTGTACCAAAAACAAATGAAAAGATGAATAAAGAAATGGAGAAAAATCTTTCTATTGTAAATTAGGATTTTCGTGAAATTAAAATTATATTATCTTTTTAGCTCTTATGTTTTAGATAGAGTCAAAAGAGAAAAACTGAAGACGTTGGCTCTAAGTGTAACATAAACTCCATGTTATTCATATTTGTAGTACCAAGGTACAAAAACATAATCCTTTAGCATTTCAATAAAATAAAATGATTCTACAAAGATCGCTTGTTTATTTTCAATTATCTTGTCTCTAAAAATATAGATACATGTCTTGGAACATAAAATTAAAAACAAGATATAATAGATCACAAAATCAACAAGCATACCAATGTAGTACTTTGGGGAAATTTCTTTTATGAAGCGTGAACCACTAACGTATTGGATAGTTAACCAACTTTCTAAAGTGTACAAAGACAGCTTATTCACCATATGAGTTGGTGCAAAAGGCAAAGGTGTACCAGAAAAAATGTATACTATTCGAGAATATAATTGCAACGTTGCATTAATTAATTAGAATTATTGACATAGAGATTGATATCATGCCAAGCGCCACCAGCCAACGAAACAAGCAGCGTCATCGGGTCCCCATGATACAAATTGTGGGTTTTAACAGGTAATTTACTTGTTTTTTCCTACTTTCTTGTCCATTCAAGTAAGCAATCTTCAATCGCCACATGACAAAAATTGAGAGAATGAAATAACAGCTTAGAAACGAGATAAGCTTGTTCCTTTCCTTTTTATGACAAGACAGGTGCTCAGACCGCAATAAATTTTTTACACCTTACTGAATATGAGAAAATTTTATTTTGTGTGTCATACAATTTATAGCCCGTTTGGCCAAGCTGCAAAAATTAGCTTATTTTGAAAAGTGTTTTTTTTTAAAAGTGCTTTTCTCAAAAGTACTTTTAATAAGAAGCAGTTTGTGTTTGGCTAATTAGTTTTAAAAACACTTCTGAACAACAATTAGTGTTTGACCAAGCTTTAAAAAACTGCTTCTAAGTGTATTTTTCTCAAAAGTGCTTCTCAAAAAAGTGCTTTTGGAGAGAAGCGACTTTTTTCTGCTTCTCCAAAACTGCTTCTGCTTCTCCTCAAAAGCATTTTTTTCCTTCCAAAAGCTTGGCCAAATACCTCAATTTTTGGCCAAACAGGCTATTACACTAGTTGTATGAGACATCTTTTTTGTCTCACAGTTTTGTGGAACTAGATTTTTGTGGACCCAGAAGTGTAATATTGGGGTCCACAAATTTGTGAGACAAAAAGGAGCCTCATACAACTAATGCCAGTTGTGTGAGACACACAATAAAACTTCTCGGATTTGTTCAGTTTTGTCGGATTTTCCGAATTTTTTGCGTTTTTTTGTTACATAAATATTGTTTCAATCTTACTTTGTCAAATTTTTGATAAGCAGATATATTTTCAGTAAAAATTGATAAATATATGATCTATTAATATATTCTTATGAGAGAATTTTCTTATTAATATATGATAGTTATTTTTTTAGTCGTCTGACAATAATTTTTCGTTGATGTACACTTTCAAGGTTAACTAAATTTAGTAATTAAACATAAAAATCAATATGTTACCTATATAATAATATGTTCTATTTAATTTTAAATTATCGAAATACCACTTCAAATTCGACAAAAAATATAAGAATTTAATAAATCTTGACAATATGGAAGAACAAAGAGATTGACACATTTCACTAACACTTGATAAGAAAGTGATCATATAATCTATTATTTAAAGTTAATAAAAATAGGGCACTTTATATTTAACTAAATATTACATCCCATAAGAGAATCACAAATATTTCTAGATATTTTCTAAAGAAAATTCTGTGAAAAATCTTAAAAGTATATATAAAAATGATATATTTATATGTCGATTTGGTTCGGATATTTTTACTCAATACAAAATCAAATCAAACCAAACCTAATCGGGATTTTTATTCAGTTTGATTCGACCTTTTGGTTTGATACAATTTTTCGGTTCGATTTGTACACCCCTATTACTTATAATTATATCGTTAGTTTTTTAAGTCTTCTCTTTAATTATTCTACCGTTTCAACCACTTTCTTTTATTGATATCTATTGTAACATTCAACTTCGTAACTTCTAGTGATTACGACTCTACCTAGCGTCAACTACTTTCAGTCCTATCAAATGTTCTAGATTCTTTTTAAAACAGTGAGTATTTGGTAGTAAGAGTTTTGTAGATGAAGAAGAGAGGTTTAGGGGATATATACAACAATTTGAATTCAAATGAGAATCTTAGCTCTGTGTCCTTATCCTTATCATGCCCCCGCAAGATTGGCTCCACTGGCTGGAGGCCAATCTTCGTCACAAAGTCAGAGAAAGGTCGTTGATGTAGAGGTTTTGTGAGGGCATCTACAAGCTGTGAGGCATTGCTAATGTGCTGAACATCAATTTGATTCCTTTCAACTTGATCACGGACGAAATGAAAATCAATGACCACATGCTTCATTCTACCGTGGAAGACAGGATTACGACTGAGATAAGTGGCTCCAACATTATCGTATAAGATTTTGGGCGGAGTCTTAGGTGGAAGATGTAGTTCCTTAAGGAGATTAACAATCCAGTTTACTTCAGCTACAACTCCTGCAACAGCTCGATACTCAGCTTCAGTGGATGAGCGAGCAACTGTTCGCTGCTTTTTAGAACACCAACTGATAGGATTGGACCCAAGAAGAATGACATAAGTTGAAGTGGAGTGTCTGGTATTAATCATTCCGCCCCAATCAACGTCAGAGTAAGCCTGAAGTATGGTAGTGGATGAGGGCCTTATGAGAAGTCCATAGGTGAGTGTTTCTTTGAGGTATCTGAGTAAGTGCTTAGCTACTTGCCAATGTCGAATCGACGGAGCATGTTGGAATTGAGCAAGCTTATTGATGGTAAAACAAATATCCGGCCTTGTAAAACTAAGTTACTGAAGAGATCCAATGACTTGTCTATACAGCTTCACATTTGCTGAACAGGATCTATCATTAATGCTTAGATGCTCACTGGTAGACATTGGAGTAGCAACACCATTTGCTTCGAGCATGTGAAATTTATCTAATAGCTCAGCAACGTAATTGCTTTGAGTAAGTAAGAGGCCATCTGAATGTGGAATGACTTCGACACCAAGAAGAAAATGCAAAGATCCAAGATCTTTGATAGAGAACCTGTTTCCCAACAACTTGATGGTGTGGTCGACATGCTTTATTGATGAACCAGTGATAACAATGTCATCGAAATACACCATAACAAAGATAAGGATATTGTGTTGACACCAGACAAACAGTGAGTTATCCGAATGAGTTTTGCTGAAACCACATGAAAGAAGAAAGTTCTTGAGCTCTGTATACCAAGCTCTTAAAACTTGGCGAAGTTCATAAATGGATTTATGAAGTTTACAGATATAATTGGGATAAACAGGATCAACGAATCCCAAAGGTTGTTGCATATAGACTTCTTCATGCAAGGTGCCTTGGAGAAAGGCATTGTTGACATCTAGTTGTCGTAAGGGCCACGTGAAGACACTGCTAAATAGATAATTAGACGAATGATGGTATGTTTAATGACTGGACTGAAGGTAGAATGAAAATCAATACCCGGTCTTTGGTGAAAACCTTTTGCAACTAGACGCATTTTATAGTGTTCGATTGATCTATCTGGATTGTGTTTCACACGAAACACCCACTTGCAGCCTATCACATTTTGTGATGAAGTTGGAGGAACTAGGGACCAAGTAGCATTATTCAAAAGGGCTGAGTATTCAGCCTGCATTGCATAATGCCATTCAATATATTTGTTTGCTTGCTTAAATGTATGAGGTGCTAGTGGTAGTGTTTTGTTGGGCGAGACAACAAGGTAATCAAAAATTTGTTTGGGCTTGAAGACATTATTTTGAGATCTCGTCACCATTCTTGAGGGAGGAAGAGGTACCACTTGTGTAGTAGAAGAAGAGTGAAGAGGCGTAGTTGTGGAAGAAGAACAAGGTGGAGAAGACCGTACCTCCAGTGAAGGTGAAACATCATCCTGCAATGACAAGCTCGGTGAACCTTCCATGGGTGGCTCCTGACAAAGAGAGTTGCTTGAAGGAGGCAATGAGATAGGTTCAAAGGCAATATCTGATTGGTTTTGTGCTGGAGAAACATTGGTTGGTTCTGTGGAGTGGATCCAATGGTACAAGAGTGATGGTTCTATTCTGGGAAGACCTAGCTGAGTATTTTTTAATTGAAATATATGTTCCACAAAGAGGATAAGTCTTGAGATGAATGTAGACATGTGATTTTTGACCCTCCCCAAGATTTTACATATTTTAGCACTTAAATACTTAGTTTAGGCCTAATATAGTTATTTCAACTAATTTTGACTCTTTTACATTATTTTTATCACAAAATTAAAAAATACAAAAAATAGTTCCATATTTCTCTATTTAATTCATGTATTATGTATTTTTAGAAGGATATGTTACTTTGAACCTATTTTAGTGTAGTATAATCCTTGAAAATATCAAAAATAGCTTCATGTCATAATATAGTTTGTTTTGATTAATTAGTAATGATTTTACAATTTTATAGTATATTATTTTAGAAAAGAAATCAACATTTTTAGTCTTGCTTGTAGCCCAATTAAACCAATCTCTTAGCCCAATACACATTACCCATTAAGCCAACGCTAGAAGACTTTCTAGACTCTTCTTAATAAAAAAAATAAAAAAAGAGACCCTAGAGCCAAGAGTCTCGGCCAAGCTGGGAGATCTCAAAAAAAAAAAGCAAAGAGAAAGCCTCTAGTTCTGTTCATCTCTTTAATCGTGTCTGCACTTTGAAGTCGTCAAAAACTTCTAAGGCTTTTTGTCAACCAAGCTCAACTAACACAGTGAGCATCTTTAAGTTCACACAACCTTCCCTTCTTTCTCCTCTCACCCATGACATTACAGTGACTGAAGCCACCTCCGATTCTATAACAAAGAAGTGACCAACACTAATTTTCCGGCAATTCCAACTTTTACAGCTACTTTCGATACTGTTGAAGGAGACGGCTAGGCGAATTTCGCTGCCATTTCTGAAAATTCGATTTAGATAGGCAAGTGAAATGAAAATGGGTTATGCTTGAGATCTTGTTCGTGTTCGAGGAGTCGGGGTTCCCAATTTGTTCGAGCCTTGGTCTGCGGATTCTTGTTGGCTTATTCCGATTTTGTTCGAGTCCTGGCGTCAGCTTTTGCTTGTGTCTTTTCTTTCCAAACAGAGAATCGTTAAAGGCTATTCAGGTCCATCTCATCTCCCTTTCTCATTTTTATAATCTATATGTGATTGAAATATAATAAGAACCACTAAAATTTGTTTAAGTTTTATGGGTTAAGGGATTTGAATTTTCTTAGTTGAATTTTGGTTTATAAAAATTTGATTTCTGTTTAATCAAGTTTGATTTCGATTGGGCTGTTGTTCGTGATTCTTACTTGAAGAAAGTGGTTTAATTTCCGAGAGTGTGCTGATACTGTTTGTTCACTTCAATTCCTTTTTCCCAATATTTTCCTTCTTAGAGGTTCTAATCAAAAGGACGTAACATATGCATATGCTTTAGTTATTATTTGCATGCTTTAAGATTGGGCCTGGCTTAATGAAAAAATGAGCACGAAATGAATTTCATTTGCTTTAGTTTAATTTTGTTTCTAGTTTTATTATTCGTTAGGAGCATGTTTAGGCCGACCACGCTCGGGTATGCAAGCCTTAGGATTTTTGTTATTTTTGAGGCGAGAGGTCGTTCCCTTAGTTAAATTTGTACGGGGAATGCCCCGAAGGATTTGTACATATTTTATTCTGAGCAATGCCCCGTAGAACTTTGTAATGGGAGACCGAAAAATAGAACCCTTAGTATTTTTGTTTTATTTTCATTTTCTTTTTTCTTTATTTTAGGTGGGTACGACCTCGAGCCTCTTTTGATTGATTATTTTCTTTTTGTGTGTTATTACCTCAATTTGAATATTTTAAAAGTCGACTAGATCAAGTATGTAACCGTACTAGTTACGGGACTCGGGGAATGCCTAACACCTTCTCCCCGAGTCAAATGAACCCCCTTACCCTAATCTCTGGTGCAAACTTAGTTTTGGAGTCTCAAGTTTTTTGAAAGGAAAAATTATTTTTAGAAAAAACGGAGACCTGACACACCAATATCAAATGTCAGGTGGCGACTATGAGTTAATCCTTTTGAACACTATTTTTTGTCACTTCAAAATTGAAAAATTCTTTTCAAGCGTTTACTAATTTTTTTTATTTATTTAAGAGGGTTAAGTGAAGTTTGGTTAAAAAGGGGTGTGACATCTCTGGCGGCTCTGTTGGGGAGTTGCAAGTTCGAGCTAGTACTACGATCTTGTTGGCTTTTAGAATATCTGGTTGAGGTTTCTGTGCTTTTTCATTATCTTTACTTGATTTTTAGTATGTTTTTATATTTTTGTTATTATTTTCTAGTTGTTTACGTGTTTACAGTTTTTACTTTATGTGTTTACTGCTTTATAACTGTCATCATTTGCATAACCCCGAGTCTTCTTTCTGCAACAAGTCTTCCGGAGTACGTTTGAGCGTACACGGCCTTTTCGCGAGTCACCCGTGTCTTTAGGGGGTGGCTTGGGAGCGTGGAGTGGGCGGACAGCTAGAGCAGCCGCCATCGACCACGTGCCGCCCCGAATTGCTTTGTCTAGTGAACCCCAACCGTAGGTCAGCCTTTATGTCATACTTATGTGCATCATATCATTCAAACCTAGCCGGGTTCGGTCCCAGGCACCGTTGTAGGAGGCCTACACAAATTATGTCAAAATGGGCTCATAGCCCAAAAAGACATTTAATCATTCCTATGTGCTACATATTGCATCTCTTTAGGGGTAAAAGGGTCATTTGACGGACCAATGATATTTGAGGGTGAAATATAAAATGAAGCAGGTGATTTTACACTTTCCCATTATTTTCCAAAAATGAAAAAGATAATCCAAAAAAATATTTTACACTTTTCCATTATTTTCCAAAAAAGACAAAAAAAAAAATTAAAATGGAAAATCCAAAAGATTTTACACTTTTCCATTATTTTCCAAAAAAAATCAAAAAAAGGAGAAAAAGAAAATCCAAAAAGATTTTACATCTTTTATCATTTTTCAAAAAAATCAAAAAAAGAAAAGAAGAGAAAATCCAAAAGATTTTACATTTTCCATCATTTCTCAAAAGACAAAAATATGGTTTTCCAAATTAGTTGCATTTTTTTAAAGGCTTTCTCCCCCGTCCAATCTTCCTGAACTACGCGAACCTGATTCTCATCTCTCGGGGCGAGATACGTAGGCAACCCACATAGGGTCCGATCTTCCTAGTGTCTTAGGTTCTTGGCTTTGTGGGGTCTTAGCCATATCTTGCATTTCTAGCCACTTTCGGCCATTCTTGCAAATCGGGGTCATTTTCACAAAAGTGGTTCAATAACCCATGTCTTAGGATCTTGAGTCCACAACGAGGTGTCATATTATTTTAAGATCCGTCCTTTTCAAGTTTGCATCTTTAGCCACTTCTGGCCATATCGGCCGTTTTTTGCAAAACGGGCCATTTTTGCAAATTAATTTTGGGCCATGATTATTAAGAGTTAGAATTCATATAAGCTTTAGTGAGGTATTCCCATGTATTTGAGTTCACCTTTCTTGAGTTTGCATTTTTAGCCACTTTTGGCCCCTCAGGCCATTTTGCAGAAATAACCCAACCGTCCCCTAGGAAATGTTGTGGTGTCACATAATGTATCGAGTCATTAACCATGTTTTTCCCATTTAAGTATGAATCCACTCACCAATGCTAGAGTATTAATGGTGGTCAAAGTCCCTAGAAGGCTAATAAAATGGTGGAACATGTTCACATTACTTGAGCAGCGTGATTTGATGGGTAAATTAGGGACTCTTATTTCTTTGATGGACATCACTCCCCGTCCTGACCTTGTAGAAGCAATTTTAACATTTTGGGACCCACAGGGAATGGTATTCAAGTTTGAGGATCTTGAGATGACACCCACCTTAGCTGAGATAGCCGGGTTAACCCGCCTGCCATACCTAGACAAGGATTTGATTTACACAAGGGCTCATTCAAGCACCAAGTTCCTTAAGATCATAGGGATGGATTTGGAAGATCACATGGGGTGTCTAGATCAATCTTGGTTATCTTTGGACTTTTTATTCGAGAGGTTTGCTCGTCATACTGGGTATGAGACCTTCGTAGATGAATTTACCATATCATATGATTCTTGGAAGAAGAGGCGTCCTATGGTCTTTGCTATTGTATTGTTGGGTCTCTTGGTATTTCCTTTGGAGGGTAGACATATTAGCACGCATCTGGGGTTAATAGCCTTTGCACTCTTCCATGATAAACACAATAGTAAAGTCACCTTGGTTCCGACAATTTTGGCAGAGATCTATCGTGCTTTGACCAGTATTCGAGAAGGTGAGAGGTTCTTTGAGGGAAGAAAATTGTTGCTACAGCTGTGGATGATGGAACACTTACATCCCGCCACCATGTTTGAGAAAGATATGATTGACCGTTGTCTGAGAGATCGAGTGAAGTGCATCGAGCATAGGATGGCGTTCGATAAGTTTGCCTTACCACTCAGAGTTCAGGATTGGGTTGATTATTTAGGATCCTTGACTGAAGAGAAGATTTTGTGGTCATACCAATGGATTGATTTGGACGTGATCTTAGCAGGGTCTCGTGTGCAAGACTTCTTGGTACTGATCGGACTTTGGTGTACTAGACCATATACCCCTACTAGAGTGATGCGTCAGTTAGGGAGGCGACAAAAAGTCCCCTACATTCCTGATTCTCGTGACTTCATTAGGGAATTTGACACTAAGCCGCATAGGGAGGTCGATATTTAGACCCATTAGCGGCATGCAATGAATATGGGTAGGGATACTTTAGCTACTGACCCGCATTCACCTGGGTATACCCATGAGTACTTCATATGGCTACAGTATACTTAATGGGGGGTTAGCAGGCCATTGCCCCGACGTGTTAGAGGAGTATTTGACGAGGAGGCCACCTCACGGATATTGCTTAGATAGTTGATGGATCAATTTACCCATGCAGAGGAGGCCCATGCAGCAGAAAAGGTTGGGGTTCGAGCTACACTTCAGTCACTGAGATCACAGATGACAGGGTTGGTAGAGAACATGAGATAACACCGTGAGTACCTTACTAAAGTCAGCCTTCCAGATGCAGGCACGCGTTCCGGGATTATCATTCCTAGCTTTGAGGTGTCCTTGCAGGGTATAGTGCAGAGCTTAGATTCGACAGGATTGACGGGGCCATCCGGATCTTCATCGGACCCGTCCCAGCCAGGACCGTCGCATTCAGGAGCAGTTTGAGGAGTCATTCTATTTAGATGTTTTGAGATTGTCTTATGTTGTCCTTTACTTTCGTGTCTTGTCTAGGAGTAATGAGTCCTTTAGGTAGTGTCGGAGTCTGTCATAGTGTAGTTGAGTCTGTCATGTTTTTCATTATCGTAATTCCCATTGTATTTTAATATCGAAACGTTTTCAAATGAAAAATCCCAAAAAAGATTTTATTTTTAGTTTATTTTCCATCACTTTTCCTGAACTATGCTCGGTCTCATTCATGAGGGACATGATACGTAGGCAACCTACATCGGTTTCAATCAAATCATTTTTGATTCAAAAAGAGAGAGAGAGAGAGAGAGAGAGAGAGAGAGAGAGAGAGAGAGAGAGAGAGAGAGAGAGAAGACATAAAAGAGAAAAAAATGATAAGAGGTGTTGGAAAAGAAAGAGAAGGAAGAATTGAAATGAGCAAATCGGGATGATGCCCTATGACCCTGCGACCCTCAAAGCCATTTTAGAACTGTTAATTGTTGCTAGGTGTATTGCACGTAATGTGATATTATTATTTGATAAATGCCCTAACGCTAACATGGTGGTTTTTTGTTGTTGTCCTCTGTTATCTTTATTTAATAATAGGAAGGTGGTTAGTTGTTTGGCATCATGGCAAATCATCCATACAACACCCGATCAAAGAATCAAACAGTCATGGCTAGCAAGGAAACAGACACTGGAGTTGTAGACCCACCAAGGGAGATTG